TGGCTTTCTGTTGAAATTATTGGCAAATACTGACTTTGTTTATACAGTTAGCGAAGCCATAGCCTGCGTAGCGAAGCCACAGCGAAACGGAGTCAAAGACAGCTGATAGCTCGGAAGCTAGCAAAAAGCTCAAGAATCGTCAAAATTTTCTTGGATTTTTTCGGTCAAAATTCGGATTTTTAGGTCAAAATTTGACAAATTCAAATCGTGAAAAATAATGAATAATGAAAAAAAATCCGCATCAACTTTTGAAATTTTAGGTGACGGTAAACTGATACCTTAATTCCATCGGCCTAAAGCCCACATTCCACAAGAGGCAAAAACAAAGTTTAAACAAACTGAAACTGCTTGTATTAAGCCGCAGTATTATGTAAACTGACTGAAATATTATGTAAATTTTGTCTCGTATTACGTACAGACGCGCAATCCACTACAGCCTACAACAGCTATAATGCTATATCTAGTTAAAATACAATATCTTTACCTTAAGGCCGTACAAAACTTTTTTGTTTTCTTTCGAACGTACTTCGGGATGTAAGATTCCGTACCAAAATTTCGCGGTGCGAGGAAGAAGCTTGTGTTGTTCACAGCGCTCAATAAGTCTTTAGAACGCTTCTGTTACATATCTTTAAGATATTGTTTATAAGATATTGTCGATCATCTTTCTCTAAAGCAGCCTTTACGGTTTCGTAAATACCAACAGACATGGCTAGTATTAGTTTAGAACTCCTGATAAATTTTCCGATTGCTATAAAGCGCACATGATATAAAATCGGCGGGTACGCGTATTTTAATTAACGCGTATAATAGGAGACGAAATTTACATAATATTTCAGTCAATTTACATAAATACTGTTGCTAGATCAGAAAGATCCAGCAACGTCATAGACCTTTCCGTCTATGCTATTAGCCTGAACGGTATGATCGATCAAAAAAATCCATCCAATGGGAATTGAGGATTTTTTTGAATTAGCCAATCGGATAGCCTGTATTCGAGCCCCTGATCGCTTTAGCGATCAGAACTCCCCACAGATCGCGCAAAAATCGAGATAGCCAATCAGATGGCTGGAATCTGACTCAGAGCGTGCAAAACTCATGCGTAAGACCGCTTTTCCGCGCGTTCATGTTCGAAGGCCTTGCTACTGGATGATATTTTAGAACTGGACTGTTAAACTTTCAATACAATACACTGCGCGAAGTTTGCCAACTGGACTGCTATTTTAATTTAACAATTTTCTGGCCAGTTGTTACCTTAGTCGCGTGATCGCTCTGATCACCCCTAGATCCGCCCCTGACATATACTACGTAAACGAAACATTTTAGTGGTCTATCAGGGCAGTTCGCCAATTTGAAATTGCACTTAGTGCGTCGAAGGCGAAAAATTTCCCTACAACCAGGCACATTATAACGTAGAAAATAAACGTAGAAAATAATAAATCGTAGTCTTTAAAACAGTATCAACGATGTTAACAGTATAAAAAGATTCTTTTTTCTATTGTATAGAAATTAAACGCGTATCCTCTTTATGAACAACAATGGATGGTGACCGTCATGTTGATAAGACTAGTCATGTACTATACTTAGGGAAATTGGAAAACAACAAAACGTACAAGAAACAAATAATACATGAAATAACAGCTGCAATCTGTGCTTTACTAAATAGCAATGGTGGAAACTTGATGATACATATTGAAACTGATGGCAACATCCCAGTAGAAGGTTCTTCCCAGATGTCTTCGGTGATTCGAATACTGGAACAACGTATGATATCTATCATTGGAGTACAACAAACCATCTCGAACATTAATATCGAAGTAGATAAAGAAAGCATAGTCATTTTAGTGAAAAAAGCTGATTCTTTAATAACAACTCATTATAACCTTTATTCACCAAGTGCAACACAAGTTGGACACGTAGGTGCTTTGGAATCACTAAAGGATATCATCAACAAAAAAGTTGTTCCAGAACCAGTCCAAATTGGATCACATTGTCATATATTTCGTAAAGGTGAAGGTTGTGGTCTTCATGAAAGCCGAACGCGTCAATTCAAGAGTTTAAATGCAAGTCTAGCAAGACTAGCAGATCGTATGACTGGCAAAGGTAATAAATTCAGTTGCTATGTTTCAGCGTTTGCCAACCATAGCGGAGGTCACATTTACTATGGTATCAGAGATGATGGAGTTGTTGAAGGAGAGTTGATTCCAAATGAGAACGACAAGAATGACATAATAAAGAAAATAGAGAAAGCTATCAACAAAATGATATGGCCTCAGCAGACTGGTCAACCAAAACGGGGAGAGCACTGGGAAATATTCTTTGAGCCAGTGGTAGATGAAAACTCCAAACTTATCCCGTCAACCTTTGTGATCGTGATCTATATCGCTCCTTGTCTGGGTGGTGTGTTCACTGAAGAACCAGAATGTTATGAAATAGTAGGTATGGAACTACATATCTACAATGAACATACAGAGTGATTTCTTACATGTTTAGGGCAGGGCGTTTACATTGTACAGGAGGGAACGCTTTCTAGAGGGCTATTTATTTTAATGGAGGTTATGTTTTATTTTACATAGTGCTAAATCTTGTTTTAACTTTATTTTGTCTAGAAGAGAAAGAATATAGGCGAGCATATTCGCAAGCTCTCCAAGAAGGTAAAGCAAAAAATAATCGAATTCCGATTATGCTGGTCGGGCAAGACCGAGGCGGAAAGACGTCGCTGATGAGACGTCTTTTGGGATTACCATTCAAGAAATATCAACCCAGTACCACTGGCATTGACGTCAATGTTATCGAGCTATCAGAACAAAACGCAGAAGATCCCTGGAAAAAAAGTGAAGTGAAGAAGTTTATGACCAGTGAAAGTGAGGCAAAGACTGTGTTATACAAAAAAACTGCCGAGTACCTTAATAGAGGAGTTCGGATGATTTCAGACGACACTGATAGTGACCTTGACATTGATAGTGGAGTTCAGGGGTATTTTAAAGGGGAAGAAATTTCAGAAATCAAATTGCAGGCTAATATTTTGACCACTGAACACGACCAGAAAGAAGTTCTTCGGGTATTTGTAAGTGACTTTGCTGGACAGTCAATCTATTACGATACCCATGGCTGCTTTGTGAAACCGCATTGCCCTTATGTTTTGGTTTACGACCTTTCTCTGGAGTTTGATAAACCCGCCGTTCCCAGGTTTAAAGCAAGTGATGAGGAGGAAGAGATAGAGATGGACAATCCTCATCTTAATACCAATTTAGATAATTTTACATCATGGTTGAAGTTTCTGCAAGGTTTAGGAGAATGCCAAGATGAACAGTTTCCTGATAAATCTGAACACTATACCACTGCAAAAGGCGAGAACTTTAAACGGCCACCAGTTTTAATAGCCTTAACTCACAATGATAAGGTGAAAGGCAACGACAGCAAAATAGATAGCGTACGAAATGGAATAAAGAAGGTCTTGTCTGGAGGAAAATATCAGAATGTCATGCTAAAGTTTTTCCTGATTGACAATACGTTGGAAGGCGACGACGGAGACGACGTGCGAGAGCTTCGTAGAAAGCTTTTTGACCTCTCGAATGCAGTCCTTAACCAGGAGATTTTAATGCCTGTGAAGTGGCTAGATTTTGAAGTTGCTCTAAGCCAGAAGCTATCACCAGATTGCAAGTATATCTCAATTGACGAAGCTAAGCGGAAAGCGGAGGCCTGTGACGTTGGGGAGTTTGATCATGCTATTAAATTTCTACACCGCCAAGGTGTGGTCGTACACCACAGTGGATCCAGCAAGGTTGTATTGGATCCTCACTGGCTAATGATTCGCTTTACGAAAGTGATCTCCATGCCTGTCAAATTGGATGCATTGTCCAGGCACGCTCTTGATGTGTTCAGGCAGAACGGCATTTTGTTTCGAGAATATCTTGAGAAGCTGGAAGACGTAGAACTTTTAGAAGAGCTTATGCAAAAGTTTAATTTGATTTGCCCTTGCCAGCACGATGGAGAGGCAGCTTTTTATGTCCCTTCAGTTGCACCAACTATGAAACAAGGAAAGGAGTTGGAAGCTAGCAATGTTCCATCGCTGTTTGTGACATTTCCTCGCAAACTTGTACCGATGGGCCTGTTTACGAAGCTTCAAGTGAGGTTAATTTCTGAGTGGGAAAAGCGCTTCCCCAATCAACCAGCCACGCCTTTCTTCTACTGCAACTACTCCTCGCTTCTGCTTACTATAGACGGCGACATGTATGATGTTTGTTTAATCGACCTCCACGAGTTCATTAAGATTGCCGTTTTTCCAAAACGGGATGGCAACCATTTCACGTTTGCCAGTCATCTCCTAGCCACCTTGAAAAAGTGCTTGGACGACCTTAAATCTCCAGATCAACTATTATTCAGCATGACCAGCTACGACCTCGGAGTGAAATGTTCCTGCTGTTTTGGTAAAGAAGAAAGAAAATGTTCTCGTCATCATAAGACCCCGTGTGATTCAGACCGTTGTGGGCACCGCCACTTCTTGAAGCTTAGTGACCTTCAGAGATTCTACAACGATAAATCCCTTGCAGTTTGCCGGTTCGACAAACGCTGGACCAAGGTGTTTGACATAAAGAGTGTAGAAATTTGGCTCAATGCTGGTAAGTGGCTAATACTAAAGGCGTTTTTACTTTGCCGGTTTTGAAATGTTTAGTTGACATGCATTTTTGGTAGAAATGCATTTTTTAAGTACTGTTTAAAACATGAGCAGCAGTGTTTTATCAGATATAAAGATACGACACGAAGCCGAGTATCTTTTAGCTTTGATAAAACGCACACTGCGAATGTTTTAAATTGCTTCAAAAATTCATGGATCTAGTAAGTTCATTGGCGAAGTAATTTTTAAAAACTACGTTGTGTAAGTCGAGGAAGTCAAAGTTAAGTTTATTTAAAATACTCCTTAATAATTGATAAACCTAATTGTGGCAAATCATATCAGCCATAAAGTGTCACGTGGAGTGACTTTATATCTGATAAAACTCATCCTAATTAGTATGATTATATAATGGTTCATCCTAATTAGTATTCTTTTGTAGTCGTATTTTAAGCCATTTAAAGCACTTGTAGTCGTGTTTTATCATATCTAAAACGCTCGGCTGCGCCTCACGTTTTAAATATGTTAAAACACTCCTACACGTGCTTTAAGTAGTACGTAAATCAAGGGACATCTCTATCACATATAAAGATACGACACGCTTATGATTTTTCTTTGTGTTTCCTCATGAATTATTACCATTAATGGAATCATATTTAACAGTTAGATAAGTTGTTCACGGAATATCAGTGACAAATGTTTTGATGTCTTTACTAGTGAAGATGTCGATGCAGACAGAACTGGCCAGAATGAGTGCTGTTTAGTTTTCCGTTTGTTTTATTAACTGATAGTGATACATGGTTTTATATTCTCGCGCATGGTAAAAGCAATATTTTACTCATTCGCTACGCTTATTCATAAAGTATTTTTCGCACTACTCGAAATTCCGTAGAATCCATATCTTAATTCGCACAGCCTTATATTCCCTATGTTTAAATGTTTTAAGTGCCCGATGCAGCTATGGTAGAAGACAGCTCGAACCTTGGAAGGCCAAATAAAATCTCAAGTGAAGCTTCAAGCTCAGCCTCAGGTAATTGTTTGGCTACGGTTTATAGACTTTGACTATACATTAGTTTGCAATTTACGCGTTTCCAATTTTGGAAGATCATATATTTCTGTGCACACTTTGTGTAGGTACCGTGTGTGTTTTCATCAGAATTTTTTGCAGCATTTTTATATATATGGCATGCAACTTTCATATAGCTCTAAATTTCGTGTCGTCGTGAGCGGTGAGCGTACCTGTCGCGTATGACTCACGTGGCAGATTCGTAAAATACGACAAATGCCGAGTTTTTTCGACGAGCATTTTCAATTTTTCATGCCGGTGTCACAGCGGATAGTGTCCCCCCGCGGATAGTGTCCCCCTCGGACAGTATCCGCTAGCGGATAGTGTCCCCTTTAATTACTTTGCCGCGGATAGTGTCCCCCACGTGAAAGTCAACAACAAAGGCTCATCTTTGAAAGAAAATATATTTATATAAAAACCATTTGCAAGCAGCGTCGTGGTTGAGATTCCTTGTTTTTTCCTTGATAGAATAATACCCCGTCTTGAACAACAAAGTCTTGGGATCTCCGTCTCAAGCCGCGTTTTTGGGATTTGCTAAACTCATCCGGATATTTGTCATTTTGTAGATAGTCGTATACTTGTTGATACAATGTTGACTCGTTCTCCATACTAAAAGCTTGCAGCCTACTCTCAATACAACGGCGAGTGGGCAACTGTAGTCTGTAAAGACCATCTCTATATACACGTCAGTTGCTTTCTATGTGTTTTTATGCATGTGAGTCATCGCTGCAGCCATTGTGCTTTTGTTTACGCGGAATGCGTGGAATGCTTTTGAGTAATC